GTTGTTATATGATCAGTTGTCTTCTCTTCGGTTGTTGATTGTTTAGTAGTAGCATCAACCGTTGTCTTTTTCTCCGATGTTAATAAATCCGTTGAAGAATCTACAGTTGTTTTTATTTTAGTTGTGGATTCTTCAGTTGTTGCATCGACTGTAGATGTTGTGTTTTTCGTTGTTAATCCTTCAGTTGTTATATCAACCGTTGTGCTCTGCGCCGTTGTTTGTTCCACAGTGGTGTCATATAGTGTTGTTTTCTCTATCGTTGTTGATTCAGCGGTTGTTATATGATCAGTTGTCTTCTCTTCGGTTGTTGATTCTTTAGTAGTAGCATCAACCGTTGTCTTTTTCTCCGATGTTAATGAATCCGTTGTAGAATCTAAAGTTGTTTTTATTTTAGTTGTGGATTCTTCAGTTGTTGCATCGACTGTAGATGTTTTGTCTTTCGTTGTTAATCCTTCAGTTGTTATATCAACCGTTGTGCTCTGCGTCGTTGTTTGTTCCACAGTGGGCTTTCGTTGTTGATTCAGCAGTTGTTATATGAACAGTTGTCTTCTCTTCGGTTGTTGATTGTTTAGTAGCAGCATCAACCGTTGTCTTTTCCTCCGTTGTTAATGAATCCGTTGTATAATCTTCAGTTCTTTCTATTTCAGTTGTGGATTCTTCAGTTGTTGCATCGACTGTAGATGTTGTGTCTTTCGTTGTTAATCCTTCAGTTGTTATATCAACCGTTGTGCTCTGCGTCGTTGTTTGTTCCACAGTGGTGACATAGGGTGTTGTCTTCTCTTTCGTTGTTGATTCAGCGGTTGTTATATGAACAGTTGTCTTCTCTTCGGTTGTTGATTGTTTAATAGTAGCATCAACAGTTGTCTTTTCCTCCGTTGTTAATGAATCCGTTGTAGAATCTACAGTTGTTTCAATTTCAGTTGTGGATTCTTCAGTTGTTGCATCGACAGTAGATGTTTTGTCTTTCGTTGTTAATCCTTCAGTTGTTATATCAACCGTTGTGCTCTGCGTCGTTGTTTGTTCCACAGTGGTGTCATGGGGTGTTGTCTTTTCTTCCGTTGTTGATTCAGCGGTTGTTATATGAACAGTTGTCTTTTCTTCGGTTGTTGATTGTTTAGTAGTAGCATCAACCGTTGTCCTTTCCTCCGTTGTTAATGAATCCGTTGTAGAATCTACAGTTGATTCTCTTTCAGTTGTGGATTCTTTAGTTGTTGCATCGACTGTAGATGTTGTGTCTTTCGTTTTTAATCCTTCAGTTGTTATATCAACCGTTGTGCTCTGCGTCGTTGTTTGTTCCACAGTGGTGTCATAGGATGTTGTCTTCTCTTTCGTTGTTAATTCAGCAGTTGTTATATGAACAGTTGCCTTCTCTTCGGTTGTTGATTGTTTAGTGGTAGCATCAACCGTTGTCTTTTCCTCCGTTGTTAATGAATCCGTTGTAGAATCTAGAGTTGTTTCTATTTCAGTTGAGGATTCTTCAGTTGTTGCATCGACAGTAGATATGTTATCTTTCGTTGTTAATCCTCCAGTTGTTATATCAACCGTTGTGCTCTGCGTCGTCGTTTGTTCCACAGTGGTGTCATAGGGTGTTGTCTTCTCTCTCGTTGTTGATTCAGCGGTTGTTATATAAACAGTTGTCTTCTCTTCGGTTGTTGATTGTTTAGTAGTAGCATCAACCGTTGTCTTTTCCTCCGTTGTTAGTGAATCCGTTGTAGAATCTACAGTTGTTTCTATTTCAGTTGTGGACTCTTCAGTTGTTCCATCGACTGTAGATGTTTTGTCTTTCGTTGTTAATCCTTCAGTTGTTATAATTACCGTTGTGCTCTGCGCCGTTGTTTGTTCCACAGTGGTGTCATATAGTGTTGTTTTCTCTATCGTTATTGATTCAGCGGTTGTTATATGATCAGTTGTCTTCTCTTCGGTTGTTGATTCTTTAGTAGTAGCATCAACCGTTGTCTTTTTCTCCGATGTTAATGAATCCGTTGTAGAATCTACAGTTGTTTTTATTTTAGTTGTGGATTCTTCAGTTGTTGCATCGACT